GATTTCCGCATGTACTTCTTTCGCAACGTGATAATCATTCGAATAAATTCATTTTTTGATATTGCATGAATTTCTTTAAGGTTATTTATGTCTTCAAAAGCGCTTTGAATCCCGGCAACCTCGAAATCGGTGATCATTTGATCAAGCATGGAGATGGTGTCAAAGACATTGCCTTCGCAGTGGAGGACTTGGATGCTATTGTTGAGGTGAAAACATTCTTTACATCGCGTGTGTTTTTTGAACACTTTTATCATAAGAAAGGAATTTATCCATTGGAATGCTGATTCAAAAATCTTAAAAAAAATTGGAAGTATTCTTTGATGGCAATAAGAGAACCGAAACTTTCGTGGATTGACTGAGTCATCCTTCCGAGCACAGCTTATTATGATTAAAAAAAATAATCTTGAAGAAAAAATGCAGAATTTTCTGAAGAATCGAGATTATTATTGACAAAAATGCTGCAGCTAGTTGCAAACATTTTTGGGAACATATTTGTTTGTCCTAAATTTGATTCACAGTAGTTTTAAAAATATGCCATCATGCCGAAGGACTTACTTCAAAGATTTTCCATAATATTATTGTTATACTTTAAATTTTCATGAATTCCATGTACTGTACTGCAGGAATGCTATAAGAATTCCTGCAATTTTATAAAATCAATTTAAAAATGAGCTCTTTTCCGTCTAAGCATTATTCCTGAAATTTAAAAAATTTCAGTATTTAAAAATTCTTGGAAGAATTTTCGTCGTTAGGACGTTTGCTTCCGTTAGTTGAATAGTTTTTTTTATTTGTTTGATGCTCATGTTTCATCAGCTGTCTGGTCCTGGTCTTAATTAAATTTTTGTTGATTAATTCAATCATTGATGGTTAAAATATCATTCCGATGTGAAATAATATCAGTCGAACGAATTGGAGGATTAAAAGTGGCTCTTCTGTCGCAGACAGTTGTTTTTCTTTGACGAATTTTAAATTTCCTAATGCATCTATGCAACATCTGATTGCCAAGTTCAAATGCGATTCGTCCTTTACGGCAAAACTGAATTACCGTACAAAAGTTATGCTCAATGAATCAGCATATGCTGTACTATACTGTTTAACTTTATCAGTTCCATGTGATATTCATCCCTTTATCCATCCCCTATGCATACAGAGAGCACGACAAAGAGGAGGCAAAATCGTGAAAGAAATTTGGTCCGAATCCGATGACTCAGGAACTGTGCGATTCGCCACGGTTCAAACGGTGAGAGCGAACATCTTTTCGGCATCAATCTAAACTCAAAATGGTACCAGTTTATAAGATTATAGCTATGAGAAAATACATTTATAGTGATTCATACAATTTATTTATTTTTCTTTCTGTCATCAGGAAGACGTTAAGATATGCGGCAAAAATTGAATACAGATGGACGTATCTCGGTGTAAAAAAAATTTCAAGGGACCAAAAAGGTTGGGTGTAGAGAGAATTTTGTTGTAAAGAAACCCCAGAATATTGGAAGAAACCTCCAGATTCAAAGATATTTGTTATGCATCGTATAGTTAAGTACAGAGAAAATCGTTGTAGACCAGATTTTTGTTTATATAGACAGTCCACCTGTAAAATCTACATGAAATTCTCTGCACCAGAAAGATGTGTAAAAGTGATATATTTACTGGCTGAAGAAACAGAGACCAAATCGATCAAAATCAGATGCAAATGAAGTGCAGGATTTTTGAATATTTTATTGTTCAGCATCTCATTGGAATTAAGTTGCATCAAAATGCCATCGGATCATGGTGTCATGTGCAAAACGTATATGCGATCGAGTGGTGTTTTAAGGGTACCATGCAATGATTGCATGTACAGTAGTACAGTAGAATTTAAGCGAAGAAAATTTGGTCATTTTGCCTGTCATAAAAATAAACTATACAGAATAACACGAATTTCCGAAATTTGGTAGCAAATTAATTATCCAGCACGACTAAAGCGTAAACAATACGTCGTGTCTGAGATCTCAATTTTTTCTTTGCATTTTAAATTTTATCATATCTGATGCACAGTAATTGATGGGTTGAATTTGTTACTGAATGTTATGAATATATCTTCAGAGAGTCCTAAAATACAGTACTTTTATAGATTCTTATATCAAAGAAGATTTTCTCCAGTATTTAAGGCTTAATAGTTTTCTCGCGTATATACAATATAAAACGACAATTATTCAGATTCTGTAAATACGAGGGGTTTTTAAAGGTTTTTTCTTTAGATTGTATGTGTTGAAAATAACGTGAGAAATTAATTAAATGTTGCAGTATGGCGACACGACGCACACCTTTGTGGAGCGTGGGACATATTCAGGACTTTTCCTTCCTGGTTACAAACCCGTTTTGGAAGAGGACCCAGTGTTGGCAAATTTGTGAGTTATTTTTCGTCATGTATTAAAAAATGTATATAATCAACTAACCTTCTTTTGTGGAAATAACGTATACTTTGTGAAAACCCTTAAGAACAAATACTGAATTACCATAGTATGAGGCATCTCTAACTCAAAGACTTGCCCATCTAAGCCTCCATTACTCAAATTTCTGGAGGTACATGAAGTATTTTAGTAGCTCAGGAATTCCAGGGATTTCTTTGTCTTTAGCCCTTGTGTGAGGCTAAGTTGGGATATTTTCTCGACATTTTGTGCACAGGAGCAATGACAATTAAAAAAAAAAATTGATTTTTGCACCAAGGTCTAATTTGGGAAAAAGTGAAACATTTTTTTTAATCCTGCAGAAAAATTTGCCTATAAATCCTCAAAGGGTGGCTATTTTTTTCAGGAATTTTTTTTGCATAGGATTAGCAATAGAGATTTTGGATTACAAATGGATTCACCTTTCCTGGATTTTTCCTATAACTTATGCCTTCCCAACCTGGGCGCATTTCAATGACCTTCTGTCAAACTGAAATGCACAGCACCCCTGAAAAAATTCTATCTTTGCTGCAGGATGATGGCCAGGAACCCTCTGCTGTTCAAGGGTTAAAAATAAAAGCAATAAGAATGTCACATTGTATTTTGGAAGGAATTGTATAAGACTAATTGGTCAAATGAACCCTTGCCTCCATGTTCAGCATCCGGTCTTTCACTAACTCATTTATTCAGAAAAGCTTATTATGGCCAAGAATACTGTATATCAAACATTTTAATTTTTTGTGATGCTACTTTTTTTTTAGCTCTATAGCAAAGATGAAGCTTCTTCATACTTCCCTGACTATGAGTCAAACTTAATTTTTGAATTTCTTTCTTGAAGTTTGACTAAAATTGGTGGCAGTCTCTTCATCACACTGAATGCATGTGACTGGGGAACTTTGTCCACTATGAATGTGTCCCCTATATAGAATGGCAACAAAAACTGCAACCTTTTATTTTCTTCTGCAAATTTATTTTAGGCCTCGACCTGGACTGGACTTCATCGATCATATTGTGGGAAACCAGCCCGATTTGGGAATGGAAGATGTGGCCAAGTGGTGAGATAATTTATTCCACCTGTCATCTATAATTTTTATTAATATTGTTTTATACACACCTGAGTTTATTTGAAAGGATCATAAATACCATAAAATAACATATACAAGCCTTTTTGGTCAGGCAAAATTCAGTCGCAGCAGAATTTAATGAACACTTGCAAATTAAATACTTTCAAAAATGAAACGCCTTTTTTATTAATTTGCCTGCTGTGACTGGCCAAATATTTTTTTGTAGAAATCTAAAAAAAAGTACCGTATTTTTATTTTGTCCCCAAAATCAACTATTTTGTTTTCACAAATATTTTGAAACACACCCTTTTCGTAGTTGTTGGAGTCAACGACCCAACAAAATAGAGTAGAATATTTTTACAGTGAAATATGGAAATAAAAATACGAAGCCACTATCAGCTGAAGCGCACGTATACTTCTTGCTCAATTGATTGACTACTCCACACTGCTAACTTTTACTGAATTATAAAAAAAGTTATGAATTTTTTTGTCAGGTACGAAAAGACCCTGATGTTCCACAGGTTCTGGTCAGTGGACGATTCTCAGATTCACACAGAATATTCATCCTTGCGCTCCATCGTTGTGGCTAATTACGAAGAGACAATCAAGGTACTGTATTTGCTTTCGTGATTGAATCCATATGGCCTAATTATTTTCCAATTAATCTATACTGCTGACACGATAGTCCTAACTAAATAAACTTACGACGAAAAAGCAGTCTACGGGTAGTTGCTTGGGCGCTTACCGTTCTCTTTCTCAGTTTAGGTCCTTATACACCTAATAATGCCTCCACGACCACACGTCGTGTAACCTCACAACACCAGTGACATCATAACTGCGGTAAAATTCAGTTATATCTCTTGATTATTTTTTCTTTGTGTGGTATTTTGTTTAAGTCGGAGGAAATTTTCCAGATTGCGAATTTGACTGCGAGAGGAACGCAGTTCCTGAAAATACCGGACACTTACTACGAGCAGCTCAGGGAAAGTCTGAAGACTGCCAAAATCACGATCAAGGAAGACATCACAGAGCTTCAGGTATCAATTCCGACAGTCTTTTTTCTTAATAATATTGTAAAGTCAAATCTCTTTAAGTCGATGTTTAATAAGGGACCAGCAAAAAAATCTATATAGTCAGTAGGGAAACAAACATTTTGGTTGGGAGAAAGAAAGAAGCATCATTAAAGGCAATATTATTGTAACTGATGATATTCTGGGCGTCAAATGTATACTTAAGTTATAGTTTACACTTACAGGATGCTTAAATTACTCGGAGGAAAGAGTTCACTTATTTGCCCAAAAAGTCTTTCAAAACACACCAAGGTGCATATTCTTGCTTTTCTCTTCCCTGTGTCAATAAAAAAATACCCAAAACACTTCCAGCAGAAATTTTGAGTTAACAAGGTTTTAGGGTTAGTGGATGAGGTTTTTAATGTTCTTTTCTCAGGGAATATACAGACACTGACTGAAGAAAATTTCGAATTATGCAGCTTCAAGCTGTCTAGGTTCAATTTCAGTATAGTAATTTTATTTTAATAGAAATGCTGGTCTTTCTGCTGTATATATGCAGCTTTTATCCAGAAATTTTGAAAATCGCATTTATAATAAAACGAATAAACTCATTCTTCCAAGAAACTTGAGTCGAAAATTACTTTCAAAAGTTGATTCAGTTTGTTCCTATATATATGATGAAACCAACTACGAAGAAGTGGCATCAGTTCAGAACTTGATTTTCAATTTTTGCTGTTTAGGATTTTAAAACCTTGAAATTTTTCCGTGTATAGCAGAGAGAAAAACTAATTTTCAAAGTCAAGGCATGAATCCGTGATATGACCAAGGAACCATTTTTTCTTATTTTTATTCAAAAACTTTGATCAATAAAAGTTTATTATCACACGCAAGTTACGATGATGTTAAATAACGCATTTGAAATTTACATCTGTTCAGTATATCCCAAGTCAGCTCAGGACTCAAAAATAATTATGCTTAGAGCAGCTTGCATTTTATCTTTCGAAGAAACAATTTTTCTGGTCTTTATACATAGTGAGTTCTGAACATTAATCGATATTAAATCGTTATTCGCCTCGCTAATGTAAATAACTCGTACCGTATAGGAATTATTGCTTAATAATTAAATAAATTTTCGGGTTGAATCACTGCTGGTCTTGTATATTTCGCTCATTTAAAAAATTCTTCTATGAAAAGGTTTCTGAAGGATCAATAGATTGAGTTACGAAAATAATCTTCTGTATACTATATATACATTTGAGTGAAGATTGAAATTTTATGATACATTTATTCATATACATTCATGCAGAGACTCGGGATCCTGATTGACTATGACGACGACGGCTATCTTTTGCAAATTTTCACAAAACCTGTCCAGGACAGACCAACTCTCTTTTTGGAAATCATTCAACGCCACAATCACAATGGATTCGGCGTCGGAAATTTCAAATCATTGTTCGAAGCCATCGAACTTGATCAAGCTCGGCGTGGAAATCTTTAATGCAAAAAAAAATCATACAGCTCGTGTATTTCTTTCATCCTTTCATGCATACAATTTCATTCTATCGCATTGAATATCAAATCAGGTATTTCACCACGTGTTTCTCAACTTTGTATGTATGTGTGTATATGTACATGACGTGACAATAAAGATTTCACTCGATCTGCATACATACTTGGTCAGCGATGATGGCGAAGATCGACTTATTGAAATTCAGCTGCAATCATAACTCCAATCCCGTTGATTATTTTCATCAATTTTTTTTCTGAATTTGATGTCTGTATAGCTGAATGAAGTCGAAATCTGTGAATAAAGTTCATGCTTGCATCACTGCTGGATATACTTTACTGAAGTTGAAACGGATTATGTTATTCACATCGAACTGCTGAACGACCGAGATATTTTTCTTATATATTTGCAGCATATATATAACTCCTCGATCATTATTGTGGAAATGTTGTCGAAAAAAGGACTGAACCATTTTCAGGTCGCAATTAAAGATCAAATATGTCCTAGGCGGCATTTCACTCGAATTTTCTGCATTTATTTCATACGTCGTTCGGCGTGGAAAACGTTATTTATAGCCACATTGCAAAAGTTGCAAATTTAAAGATAAGACAATGAGGTTTACTAGTGCAGATACAGTACGTAAATACATATAGGCATTGCTTTTGATCTGAATGCTGGGAATATAACTAGACATAGAAAAGTTATCTGCAAATAAGAAATAATCATCTTGCCTCCAGATGACAGTAAGTGCCATGTATAGACAATTGGTTATTTTATCTTGATACAATAAAATCTTTTTACGATACATTATTGCATTTCTTTAAAATAACGTTTTTCTTAATGCTCCTATGCCCAATAGCTAGCCTTATAGAGTGGCTATTTAATTTATTACCCTGTTTTTTAAAGCAAAGCTCTTATGCTTCCTCCGAACGGTTAATTTCTGTCTAATATTGGATTTTGTGGCGCCGCGAAAAGACGTTTGAACATTTTTAAAGTTAGTCCTAGTTTATTGCTTGAAATTCCTGCGTTGCCCTTTTTTTATTGGTCTGTTTTTGTTATTCTTTTGCAGTTAAAAGGAAACGTTTTGGTTGGTCCTGCTCTTCCTGCTATCGTCTCTCGGTCTAAGAGTTAGTATATACCTTGTAATTTTTTTTATAAAGTAACATGTAAATGATAAAGCATCCATGGAAAACCAAAATTCGTCTGGAGAAAAAACATGCTGTGAAACCCAGGCAAGAATTTATTTGTGATACTATAATGGATTTTCTATTGACAAGCAAATACAGTACGCTACATTACAGTAGTGCGCTTGTTGGGGAAATCCACTGTACCACTACAGTACTGTCTCGTATTGCACAAGTGTTCCCATGAATTTAAAGCACTCAGGAAATGTCATGTCGGCGCCCTGGTGGCACCGGTGTGGGCGGCACAGCGTACTCCCCCCAAAATCGTACTCCAGGAGTGCACCCTGCCTAGGCAGGATGCACTCCAGGAGTACACCCTACCTAGGCAGGGTGTACTCCAGTGTGCACTATGCCGTCCGGCGGGTCTATTCAAATCCGCGGAGTGAAGTTCCATGGTGAACACATGCTAACGGGAAAAAAATAACCAGACAAAAACAATAAGAAAACGTCAATTTTCCTTTGCAAAACCAACCAGGACGAGAAGGACGATAGCAGAGAGCCAGATTCTCAATCATATATGGAACATTAAAAAAAATAAAGTAACATGTAATTATGTAAATGATGAAGCATCCAAGGAAAACCAAAATTCGTCTGTAGAAAAAACATGCTGTGAAACCCAGGCAAGAATTTATTTGTGTTACTATAATGGATTTTCTATTGACAAGCAAATACAGTACGCTACAGTACAGTAGTGCGCTTGTTGGGGAAATCCACTGTACCACTACAGTACTGTCTCGTACTGCACATGTGTTCCTATGAATTTAAAGCACTCAGGAAATGTCATGTCGGCGCCCTGGTGGCACCGGTAGTGATGCACGTTTTGCAAATTCGCGTTGATTCGGACGAGAACGTGGAAACCAATTTCGAAATTCATTGTATGGAAGTTATTATTGTGTAATATTCAAAACGGTTACCCGTTTTTTAGGGAATACGGCGTGTGAATTGTATGGAGATTCCTCCGATTTACAGTTTTTTACGATTGAAGATACGGTCATGATTTCTTATTTTTGCTCGTTTAAATCGTGAAGCTTCCATGACGACTGCGTATTTGTATGCAGACGAGGATGTTGGTGAAAAGTGCATTATTAAAACAACAAAATGAGAGGTAAGAGCCTATGTGTGATCGTGGTTTTCTTTTGTATGCGTATAGGACATAGCTTGCGGTATGGGGTGAACATCTAGTGCGATTGGTTATTACTTCGAGAATTATGGAGCCGCTGGGGATTCCTGGAGAATATTATTACCAGTCAAAGGAATGCTTTTACTGGTGTGCCGTGTCCAAAGCATGGATCAGGTTTGTTAAAGTTCGATGAATTCCTTGGAGAAATCTAATGACGATTATACGGTATTAATTCTGCAGTGCATTGATGAAAGACCAATGCTTCTCCCCATTTGTAACCTGCAAAGGATACGCTGATTCGAAAGAAGTGAAAGAGATGGTTTTACTGAGGGAAAATTTGGCAAGCGATTGGCAGTATATGGGAGTGCAGGTAGGTCTAAATAACACAATCGTATTTTTCTGTGTCTAAGATTGCTACCTTGTATTTCTAGGTTTTCCCAAAAAAATCAAATCGTTGCTATTGCTTGCTACAACAAGCTTGGTCGGAAAAGAATTTCGATCAAGAATTGTGCCTGTCCCAAGCGCTGTGTCATGTCTCCTCGGCAAACTTCGTTGATCTCTGGAAGTCAATTCATAAAATGTGCTCAGCTGGTAAGAGTTATACCCTCGTTTCTGTTCTTGCATCTGGCTGTGAGGTCCCTCCTCGAGGCTGTCGTTTCTCATACGTTTAGAAATTCACAGTTTAAAGTACTGCAATATTATGGTCGAACGTTTTTCACACGTGTACCGTTTTACAGCACCAATTACCGAAATTTACAAAGGAAAAGAAGCCAGTAAGTCTCCAGCTGTACTACAGTACGACGAAGCTTTGCGGATCGTCTTAAGCCGAGTTTACGGGAATGGAAATGTGATTAATATCTCCTCTGCTGCCCAGCAAGGCACCGTGAAACCCAGATCTGACGCAGATGGTTTTCTGATTGAGAAAAACGTTTCGAACATCCCACGAGCCGCTTGTGTCGTGGAAACAGATTCTAACTTCTGTGTTATATTTGCTCGGATTCCGGAGCATACCATTGCGGACGTACTGAAATTTTCTCCTGCATTGCTATCCAAAACGAATTCGAAACCTCTGTTCGTGGTTTACCAGGTTTGTATTGGAGTTATTTCTTGATGAATTTGACGAAGCATTATATTCCTTCTTTTTATAAAAGATCTTGAAGTCCATGAAATCGTTGCAAGATAATGGGTGTGAAGCTGGTGAATTCACGACACAGCACATCCACATCAACGACTACCTTTGGGTTTCTTTATTACCGAAACTGGAACATAACCTGACGGACGCCTTAGTAGAAAAGGACGATGTCACAAATGATTCGGACAGATTCCCGACACCACCAGGCTTGATTTTAGCTGATGAAGATGCCATCATGCACAAGAACTTAGCGGATGTTGTCCATTTGTGGGCATTTGGACGCGTGTCGAACTTTGACTACTTGATGTATTTGAACCATTTGGCCGGACGACGAATGGGCGATGCCAGGTAATCTTCATCGAATCATTTTTAAGTAATTTTATTGGAATTACGGAAGCATCAGTTTGATCTGTATTCCTACCGAAGGTTGTTGTGCCCTAATTCTGTCAGAGTGAACACTTCATTGTTTTGACCGTCGAAAATTTTAGCGTGAAGACGCACATCTATTTTCTCCCGCCAATCGGCTCATAGAATTCTTGGTGAACTTCGCGAATGAATTCTGAAATATTGCCGGAAATACATGTAATGTTTGCTCCACAAATTCCAATGCTGGAAGCTTCAAATGCTTGCATCGTGAAGCTTCAGAAAAAATTTCTTATTCAAAAATATGTGTCGAACAATACCTCACATCGCCGAATGTACTTCATTTAAAATTTGAATTTTCGGTGATACTTTTTTGCTGTTTAAAATTTTGATCACAGTCTATTACAGTATTTTAATGAAGAGTATGGTATTATATTTTTCAGGTGTCACCCTATTTTCCCTTGGGTGATTGACTTCACTTCGCCATCCGGGGCATGGCGAGATCTCGCCAAGTCCAAATTTAGAATGAACAAAGGCGATAGACAACTGGACATGACGTACGAAGTTTCAATTTTTCATCCTCTCAAAGATTCGATGGATGATGAAGTCGGACCCAGTAGTTTGGACGTGAGACTTCCGACTGCTTTATTGAGACAAACCTAGTGTGTCAATTGAATCTTAGAACTTAGCGGATGTTGTCCATTTGTGGGCATTTGGACGCGTGTCGAACTTTGACTACTTGATGTATTTGAACCATTTGGCCGGACGACGAATGGGCGATGCCAGGTAATCTTCATCGAATCATTTAAGTAATTTTATTGGAATTACGGAAGCATCAGTTGATCTGTATTCCTACCGAAGGTTCTGTGCCCTAATTCTGTCAGAGTGAACACTTCATTGTTTTGAACGTCGAAAATGTTAGCGTGAAGACGCACATCTATTTTCTCCCGCCAATCGGCTCATAGAATTCTTGGTGAAATTTGCGAACGAATTCTGAAATATTGCCGGAAATACATGTAATGTTTGCTCCACAAATTCCAATGCTGGAAGCTTCAAATGTTTGCATCGTGAAGCTTCAGAAAAAATGTCTTATTCAAAAATATGTGTCGAACAATACCTCACATCGCCGAATGTACTTTATTTAAAATTTGAATTTTCGGTGATACTTTTTTGCTGTTTCAAATTTTGATCAGTCTATTACAGTATTCTAATGAAGAGTATGGTATTATATTTTTCAGGTGTCACCCGATTTTCCCTTGGGTGATTGACTTCACTTCGCCATCCGGGGCATGGCGAGATCTCGCCAAGTCCAAATTTAGAATGAACAAAGGCGATAGACAACTGGATTACTGCATGCTTCAAAGTTAAAAAGTAGGAGAGTTTCTAAGCTACCTACTACTTCAGCCTGGGTCATCAAACCTGCACTCTGAAGGCTGACGAAATAACTCTGTTTGGATCACACAGTTAACTTAGATATTTTTTTTTCGAAGCACCCGCATCACGTTACTGAACTATTATCAGAGATCACTTACTACGTGTATAAAGCGAGAAGAATGCCGAAGTCAGTTTTGTGTAAACACGTGAGGTCCAACTGGGTTCCTGGTGAATATCCTTCTTCGATTCAGCGTATGTTTGAATGGAGTCCGGATGAATGCATTCCGGAATTCTTCATGGATCCCGATATATTCAAAGTGAGTCACGCGAGCTCGGATAACCGAGAATTTAGTAAAGGACTGCTATTTTGTGTGTAATTTTTGCAGTCAATTCATGAAGATCTCGGTGATCTGGAAATTCCTTCGTGGTCCTCATGTCCAGAAGATTTGATCGACAAACACAGGCAAGCATTGGAAAGCAATCATGTTTCAGAAATGTTGCATCATTGGATCGATCTTACGTTTGGATACAAGTGAGTTTATTTCGATGAGTCATGTATGCGTAGACTCATATCTGATTCTTATCGTTCTTCCGAAAAGAATATGACAGGTCTGATTTCGACAGTTCTGTCAGGAGACGAATTCGGTTGTATTTGAATACTAGAAGGCCTGCCTATTTTGCTTAAATATTGAAATCGTGAATTGTAAAAACGGAAACTTGAGTTCGGGCTCGAATGGATAGTGAATTCGATTGCATTACGTCCACCACAATTGAAGAAAAGAAAGCATTTTCAGGATGATACTGGTCATCTGAAGTAGCTTTATATTAGGACACGTGAATATTCGACCTACTGTGTTCTACTGTATGTACAGTACTGTACTGAAATACGTTCTTGTAAAATCTGCCATAAGATTAGCATTTGCTGCCTAGGATAATTTTTCGATTAATAAAGTTCACTCTGTTTCTGATGAATAGGAGTTTCCGTCAGGGTGTAGCTTTATAAATTTTCAAAAGCGTATGAAATCCTGCATGAGTACTGTAGGAGTATGGCTTATAAAGTATTATAAGAAGCCTGAAAATGTTTCTTCTATGGCTGGCGCATTTTTTGCGAGAAATTTGGTATAGTAGAATCTCGTTATAAAAGATTTCTTTCTTTACCCTTCTCCAAAAACTACGAAGTTATTTTTTTATTTTTTATCATTTTAGAAGGATCATCAGATGTAGGCGATGTGCATTTTTGATGCAATATAAACTTCATTCGGTTTTATTTTTCAGGCTTTCTGGCTCAGCTGCTGTAAAGGCGAAAAACGTTTGTTTGTCGTTGGTGGATGACCATTCTCATCTCACCCGATCTGGTGTTGTGCAGCTTTTCACTGTGCCACATCCTCCGAAAGTCATGCAATCTGCTTACTTCGGACCGAATCCGCCTGCAAAAGCTATCAAGCATCACAGTAGGCGAAAGAGGTGATTTAAATTCACGTAATCTTCCAAAATGTACCCGTTTTAATTGGTTTTATGTTATTGAGGCATGAAAATCATCGTTCGCTTAGTGGGCATGAATCGTTGGAGTCCGATTGGGAGGAATCTTCAAATGACGGGGCGGAGAATAATGCTGTTGCATTTGCGGATCAAGTGTCGGTCGAAGACATGATCATGATGCCCAAGGATTACCCACCTCTCCAGGCGCTTTTACAGCTGGAGAGCCTGTACGATTTCATCAACAAACTCCTGATCCCGAGGTCCCATCACTGCCCCCACCAGCAGCAATTCATCAACCCCAACAGTATCGTCTCAAGCTTCAAAGCCAGGAACATGTGCAATTTGTCGTGTGTGATCCTCGAGATATTCTTGCCTCTGAAATTCCGGTGCCTCCAAGATACGTGTCCCGATGGCAGACTGCAGGTTGCCGAGGAGATTGTCCGAAAGGAAAAGTACTTGGTACCGCTTTGTGTGAAGGGTTTAGTGGAGAATATTTTGAATGCCGAGTCGAGGGAAGAAGGATTGAAGATTCATTCTGGTGGGAAGTTTGAGCTGGGGTTGCCTGCGTTTTCTCCCCTGTTGCTCTTGCAACCCATCATCTCTCCGCTAATTTTCCCCGAATATTTTCCCATGGTATGTACCCTTCGTTTATTTGAGTAGTTTCCGTATTTTATTATTGTGTTACTGTGATCAGTGCCCCTTGAGCACGTCATGCACAAACAATTTTTGCAAAGCATTTACCCCCTGTTTTCAGTTTTCTTCCATTGAATTCATTACGCCAAAAGGCGTCCAAATATATTTACTGAACATTTCGCAGCACAAAATAGCACTCCTGAAATTTTTTGTCGACGGTGGTCTTAATTTTCTGAAAGGTCCTCATGAATCCAAGTCATTCGGAACGAATTTCGATTGATTTTTTGTTCTTCATGACGAAGATGTCGTCTCCAGTGTAAGAATTTAATTTTTGGTTTTTGCTAAAGGTTAACCCAAAAATCTGGTTTGTTCAAGTAACGACGATAAAAGCAGAGAAAAATTCGCAGGTTACTGAAACGTGGAAAATTCATCACATGATCGCGCAATCCAAATTTTTGCATTTGTTCTTCGCTGAAACCAAGCGGACGATTCAAATTTTGATATCAATGAACTAGAACATCTTGATTGAGTGTCTGGATTATATGAAGCAGCAGATGCCATGTTTACTTAAGGAACAGGCCCAACTTTCTTTTTAATTCAAGAAAAAAGGGAGTCCACGTCAGTGGTAGGCATAAAATTGATCGAAAAGTTCGGAAATTCAATTGCGCCTCATGCTTGACTTCATAGAACATTTTGGACCCATTAGAACAATTCCGATGTGGAAACAGTTGAAATGCAAGCATATTGGCTTTAGGTTCAATTCAAGTAAAGATTCGGACGTGGCTCATATGTGAAATACAGTACTGCAATTCTTAGTTACTAAAATGGAGTACAATTCGACTTGGGGATAGGTTTTTTTCCAAGTTTTTGCTGGAAATCCTGGTGCGTGACTTAATTAAAATGCACACATTACACAAGCACAGTACTGTGAATATGTTATTACATAAACTGTACATGTGTGCGAATTTTCCTCCTGTGTGCGCAGTGGATTTTGCCATTTTATGGAGCCTAATGCAATGAATCTTTTACTAATTTTCTTGCAGAAGAGAATGTGATAATTCCTATTCAAGAATTTTATGACGTTTATCAGTACGTAGAATTTATCGTAACTCCGGGAGTGTGTGACAAAAAATAGAAAAAAATATGAACTCTCTCGGAATTTATCCCAACGAGATTTCATCTTGGTACACAACCAGGTTTTTAAGATGTGTCAATCCATTGTTTCAGGTTTATAAGCTGATCAAGAATTTTGAAGAAGTGGAGGAAGTCCTATTCGAGTTGAAGCTGATGTCGCTGAATGCAAAAGCTTGCAAAGAAATGGAAGATAAAATCATGGAGCTTCAAATCAAAACCTTAGCTGCTGACTTGGATGATCTCCTGCCCGAACTTTTGTCCCCGGGAATGCAAGAAGCGATGGAGTTGCTGTGGCCCGTCATTGACCGCGTTTTCAAAGACAAACGCAGGCGAGTCATGGCAGCTTGGCACTTGGTGGACACAGTTGGGCAAGCAGTCGGGCCCAAGAAAACCGCCAAACACTTGCTGAAACCCGTAGTTGATATTTTTGACAATGAAGATGACTGCGTGACGATGAAGCACATGAAGTTGTTCCACCATAGTTTTCTTCTTCAGCTGTGCGTCAGGTTCGGCACCAAACGGTTCCTCGCTCATTTCGTCACTTGTCTCGTCGAGGCTGTCGGTGGCAACAAGGAGTTTGATGACGAAGAAAGCAACTTTCACACGAAAAGGCATAACCGGCATTTGCATCCGAGAAACACCGCCGAGCCTCAAAAACTTCCAGATGAACCAGAAGGTATATCGTTCTTTTTTCCCAATATTGAGCGAAGTTGATTTCGTTCTTTGTGTCCAGAAGTGTTTTCTATGGATGAAGAAGTTCATGATCAATCACCGGCTAAACCAGATGGCAATGAAGGAGACATTTATGGTGATCCTGCGGAAATACGATACAGGAAACTGAAGGGCCGTGCTGCCTCAGGATTAGCGTCTCAGCTGTCGTGTTCTGTTCCTGAATCTTCATTTATGAATGAAGGACATTTTAAGGGTCTCAAGGACACCGTGGAACGAGCAGCGAAAAAGGTATGTTGTGATCCGGGAGAAAACATAAACAGGAAGTACATAGAATCGAAGAAATCAGTATGCAGAAGGACTCTCTTTGAAACGATCTTCTCTGTATAACGAATTTCCAAGGTTTCCGAGGGTTCTCTCACCAAATTGTAGGGGTTCTCTACAACAGTGTTACCCAACCTTTTTGGGCCTGAGGAAATCTTGAGGAATTTATCGTGCTGAAGAAAATTTCCTGTGGACCAGCAATAAACTTTTGCAGATCAGTGCTGGTCTGCAGACCATGGATTGGGGCACACTGTTCTATAACGATTTTTTTGTACTGGTCCCCTGACTTTTGTTGTTGTGAGAGTCCACTCATACTAATCCATTATGAACTACCTGCCTGACCCTGTCTTAACAGAGCATAACAATATATAGATGACACCTGTGTAATAATAAAGATACTTCGAAGTTTTTGAGGTCTTTCAAGTAAGAAATGAACATGGTTGATGGAAGAAAACTTGTGTCTTACAGAAAAATCAGGTCGGACTCAACATCTCAGATGTGGCCGCAGGAAGCACAGTTTGGCTTGCAGAAAGAGTTGGACCTGTTCTGACTGCCAAATACGTGACCCGGAACTTGCTTCGGATGTTGAGCTTGTGTTACTTGGATGAAGATAGTCTTGTCAATCTCAATCACAACTGTCCGCCAACGAGCATCAGTCAGAACTTTCAGAGTAATGACACGTACTTGGGAGCTGCGTTTTCTGGCAGGAGTGTCCGTGGCGACATCTGTGCGAAGAAAGTTCTGGATTGTCTTTCTTCTATCTCTAGTAAGTTCGAGCGAAATCAAATTTATTTGCAGCAATTTTCGATGCCGAACTTGATTGAACCGATCTCGTCCCCTGTGAATGTTATGTGTAATCAAGTTTTGAGGAACTTTTTTGCAGATTACCGAGATTGTGCGATTTTTTTTTTACATCTGTCCCTGGAGAAAAATGATAGAAATATCGTTCAGAGTTTAAAAGCGCCGCAAGGCTTTTAATTTTCTAATCTTCGATGCAGGATCCCTCGTAATACTTTTTCAGTATGAGAGAAATTTTTCATTGTAACATACCTTTCTGTCCTCTTATGACTTGTACCTCTCAGAATTGTGCAGAGAAGTACAATACTGTATTCGTGATTATTTCCAAATGTTGTCCAGATTACAGTTTCAAGTTGTCTTGATAAAGCCGTTGGCTCTTTCGTGGGCATCTTTTTTTTTTTTGAATTGACATCATAATCCGAGGAGAATTTTCAAACTGTGTTTTCATTTGGATTTTTGCAGGTTTATATGGAGAACACTTCATTATTCGGCAGTATCTTCCACATGCTGCGGAATTGCTCTTCTCTTCGCAAAGGAAACTGAGTCCGAGTTTAGAAGCAGGTTCCATTGGTTGTTTATCACTTCTGCATCATATTTTGCCTTATCTGAGGGATTCGACCTTGATGGAGCATCTTCAGGTTTGCCCTCCGAAATTCTTTTTATTTACGTCATTTTTTAAAAACAGATAAATGATAGCCAAAGGTCAGTCTGCTATTCTCCCAATTCAGCAGAACAGTTTACATTGTTGAGCGAATTACCGTATTGACTCGAATACCACGCTTACCTTTTTCTCAACATTGAGGTTGAAAAAGTGGGTGCATTATAGGTATACATTTTTCAAAAAGTTGTAAAACGTTAGGTGTGCATTATACTTGATTCGAATCGATAATTTCCTACCAAGTTCAGCAGATAAACTTATTCTGATGGAAACAGTGGAAAATTAGTTGAATTCATGTCTCAGTACAAATTTTGGCGTTCGTATTTTTGAAATATTGCAGTTTTCGAATCACAATGAATGGGTTGCGTGTTTTACTCGGGGATGCGATTTTATAGAAGATTTTAGACTGAAAAATCCTGTTGCCTTTTCTACTCAAAGGCGTGTGGTATTCGAGTAAATATGGTACTATCTTTTATTTTATCGTGCCTTGTAGTCGAGGATTTTGAACGGGGTCTTGTATCCCGTGTTGCAAATGGTCACGTCCACGAGGCTTCAGTTCCCGCACGGGTACCTAGGCAGAGCTGTGATGACATGGAAAGCTCTTGATGTTCTTTTCCTGATATCGTCTCGTATCGGCATGGAGATGACGAAGAAATACATGACTTCTTGCCTAAACAAATTCTTTTCCGGTTTCGACGTTGCCTTTTCACCCACGGGGAAAGTCGACTTGGATTCATCCGTGTTCCAGTGCGTTGACCAGAAATCGTACAATTCTGTGTCTGAGGAAATTATACAGTATTCAAAATTTTTTTTTATGTTGGCAGTTTGGAAGCGATGCCTGGAACCTCGCTGGAGGAAAGTGGTTACTTTGATATAACGAAAGAAGCCTCTGGGTACGTAGTTAGTGGTCTCGTGCACCTCGAGAAATTACAAGCATCGCCGTGTGAGGAGGCTTGCGAACCATCAGGCAGCTCTCCGAAGGCTGACGTGAAGGTACGAGGATCCGTGTGTTCTTCACTGGTCATTTTTTGCTTTGTTTCGCACTTGCAATATGTTTCTCGAAATATGTGCGAATCATTTAAAAATGATCATCGGATGCAGATTAAGTTTGTCAGAGGTACTCTTTTTATGCAAAACATTGCTTACTTTTGAAAAAATGTGTGTCTGCGTGGTATAAACGCGTGAAACAATGTGTTAATCAGTGAATTACCCCAAAAGATATTTTCTCAAGGAAGCGGTTGCTGTTAATTTTGATGAACGAACCTGTTAATACGGTGTTTCATGTTCATCTAATTACATTGAGCTGTCCTGATGAAATTTTTATGAAGCAGTTACCGAATACAATACCCATTTCCCTTGGCGTGATCGAAGATTTTCTCTGAAACTTTTTGCGCTGGCTAAATTATTGAAAGATACTTATTTACTCGAATGACTTCTTTCTCAAATTCAAAGGGAAAAAGGAGGTGTTCGTCATAGGAGGGGGAAAATGTTCAAAATATGTTCGTAATTTAGGTGCGCCCTCTACTTGAATGTAATGGGAAATTTTTAAAAATAGCTTTTTGAATGAAAAAAAATTAATTGAACTTAGGTTGAATTCATGGGAAAATTTGCATTCTGGTCCCTGTTAATTTTGAAATATTGGAATTTTTTAGTCCTTAAAAATGGCTTGCTCGTCTTACTTGGAGAAAGGATTTTATCAAAATTTGTGTAAAAAATTGGGTTGTGTCTTTCTCGTCGTCGCGTGGTATTCGATTAAATGATAATTTAGTAATTGTGCGAATGTTCAAGATGTTGGAAGAGATAGCGGGCTGTTTCACGCAAGAAATGGCGCACTTGAGCTACATAGCCTTCTGTCATTTGTCCGGCAATTTGCATCTCGAGCGACACGTGCGCAATGAGGCTCTCGTGAGGCAGTTATGCGAGGATTTTGAAAAGTACGCTGTGGTGAATCCACGAAGAAAGCAGCCCAAGGATGTAGCTCACGTCAGTACTGTCGACGCTGCCCAACAAACTGCCGTTGTGGGAAATCGCATCTGCATTGAGGTAAAAGTACTGTGCAGTACTCGTGGGGAATCTATTTTCGATGCACTGATTTTCATCGAATTTTTTCGCTTGAATATTCTAGAGCGACGTGAAAGATGGACCCGGTGATCATGAACAGAGTGACTGGGAGCCGCCGCCGGATGACCGATTGCGAAAACGCATGGAATCCAGTCACAGGTCTGTGAAATTTTAGCCTTTTGAAAATATAGTGTGATGTAAAATGTAAAAAAAGTACAGAGTAATTTTCTATGGATATTATCCCACCGTATTTTTTAATGTGACGAATTGCTTTTAAGTTGTGCGAAAGAAACTGCTTTTTGGTCATTCTTTGCTTGCTAATGCGTTGCTGTTATTCCCCAGGCATCTGAAAGGAAACTGGCTGGCGTACTGGGAGAACCAGGTGGGCCGATCCGAAAAGGATAATGAGCTGGATTTGAAGCAGATAGCTCTGCAAAGCTTTGTTGGCCACACGGCTTCAATTCGTCAAGTATATGTGATGGACAATGAAAACTCAGCTTTGTCTTCATCCAAAGACAAGACGGTCAAGCTGTGGTCAATTCGGAATCAGGTAATCTCACGGATTCCGATTTTCTCGCCGTGCGAATGATTGACGAGTTTCAAATGCTCTATTGTTGTGATATTTACGTGAGGAAAACATGATAGAAGGTCTTCGTTTTCTCAGTTATGCGCGTGACTAAAAAAATTTGGCAAGGAAAGTGCTAGAGAAAACTAGATTCTGCGATGTACGAAAATAACAGCAGCGGGATAGCGCAAGGTTCTATACGGGTGGACTCTATCGACAACGTTTTTATCTACGACGAATTTCTCGATACAATGGTTTTTCTTTTCTCCAAAAGTGGACCAAAAAAATACCTGTCGTGCAGAGGTTCTGTGCAACGGTTTTTTCCCTGCATCTCCTTCGTAGAGAAAGTAATAATATAAAAATTTAATACTGTAGTAATTTTAAGAGCTTTTAAATGTTCAATTCCAATATTAAAGTTTGAATTTTCTTCCGTTGCGTTATCCTGGAAATCGTATGCTCAAGTGCAAATGTTCTGTGATGAGGACGCGCCGCTCTCGCTCAGTCTTTTTTCAGTCACTTTTTCTTGTTCCCCGGTAATCGTGATTTTGTTCTTCCTGGTCGAAGGAATGTCAGCGAGGGAAGTCTTTTTTTTCAAGTATGACCTTACTGACAATTGATAATGATGAATGAATGTCTTTTCTATCGACTTCAAGGGCGATGGGAACGCTCAAGTCACACCGCGCTGGTCGTACAACGAGCATAAAAAGGGTGTGAATGGATTGGCCTACTTGGACCGGATCAGGAGAGTCATTTCCTGCGACTCGACGTCATTGCACATTTGGGATCCGTTTCTCGGAGCTATTGTGTGTCAGGTGGACGCGGGAAGTGGCAGCGAGGCGCCGCAGGGTGTCGGTGGTGGAGGTGGTGGCAAGAATCCTCCGTTGACCGCCATTGCTGTCGCACAGCCTGCGACGGTCGTGGCCGCCACCACGGATGGCATTCTGAGGATGTTCGATGCCCGTTGTTGTGCTTTTGCGCAGACTTATAAGGTAATTTTCGGAAGGCCTAGAAATTTTCTTGGAAGAAGAAAAACCTTGTATTGCGATTTAAGTGTGTTGGAGAATTTTTATGTAACAGAACTCAAGTCCGAAATGTTCGCTTGAACCTTGCTGGTTACGATTCGGTTCTTTTCTCGTTATGTCCCTGGCCTTGTCCTGTGTAAATCAGCCAGGTGTCGATCTACCCTATATTAAACCGATCCAAACTAATGATCGTCCTGTCACCCAAATTTGACTGAGGTAAGCTGAATTAGATTCATGCGACACCTTCCGAGTGGCAGAGAAAATTATGGAACTATCGGAAGTGAAAAGCCAGAATTCTTCGACGTTCGTCTCGTGAATAAGCTTGTAATTTCACGAAAATCTTGACCAAGTCCGAACTTTTTTTACTCAAATTTCTTCAGGTGTCTCCGTTTTCCGCTGGAATGATCCGTTGCATCTGCGTGTCCGGTGATGAACGCCATGTTTGCGTTGGGCACTCTACCGGAGCCATGTCATTACTTGACCTAAGAACTGGGTCTTTGATTTCCGCGTGGAAAGGTCACGAGCAGGAGGTACGTTGTGCTGCTTTCAATCATCGTAGCTTTTTCTATTCATATGAGACGATCGATTATCCATTAAGGTACTTCAAGTCGTGGCTTGTGGATTGAAATACTTTGTGACCTCTTCGATGGATCAGTCGCTGGCTGTGTGGAGTTGTGATGATGCGAAGCTCCGATTCAATCTGAGGTAATGTATTTGACAGAAGACTGCTTGGAACAGTGTCATGGCATTATTTCAATGTCTAAATTTTCTTAAAAACAATGCATTAAAAATGTCGTCTGAGACTTGGGGTGTTGATGTGTAAAAAAAATATTAATGTTTTTTGTGTATCCGTTGCTGTTCATTTGCCCAGATCGTATCAGGAACCTGTTCAATGTTTAGCAGTGACTGGGCAGCAAATAATCTCCGGAACTACAGGAAATCGCCTCGGAATTCACGAATCGGTGGATCCGTCGGCGGCTTGTTCTTCTGCTCGCTTGAGGTCTGACGTTTGCAAAGGTACCCTAACTGCTTTGGCAGTTCTGCCTCTCAATGGAATCTTCCTTGTCGGAACGGAATCAGGTGGATTAACACTATTGGCGTGATCATCACACGGGGCTTTTCCAGAAAATATAATTTTCCCGAGTATATTCAATGTCGGAAACATTCCCGTGACCTTCGATGAAAGTTCAAACTCCGCGTAAGATTTTAAACTGAATTTTATTGGAAAATTCGGAACATTCCTTCCCTTCGCGATGTGCCTCCCGTTTCCTGGCCTTTCATTCCGAACGCGGGGCGTAGTTTTTGTTTTGTTTATGGAATGTGAACGTATCATTTTTGCTATTTTCAAACCCTAGAGAATTTATTTTTTTTTTCTCGTGGGAAATTTAGAATCTCTAAAGTCAAGAAACCTGTGCGGAAAGTTTTTGTTGGACTTTCCGACGAGTATTTTGCACCAAAGACATGAACTGTGTTAAGTATTGGAAGTCGCTTGCGCTTCGGCTTGATCAAACATTCCTGGGATGCTGTGGAAGGGATCTCTGAAAATGCAGTTGGAAGATGAATGTGGAAGAAATGTGCGTATTTCCGAGTGTATTTGTGCTTTGTCCTGATCCAGAGAAATTATGTACTGTATGAGTAAAATTTGCTGTGATCTAATGTTGAAAGATTTTATGATACGGAAGAAGAGTGCGTCAGCTGATTGAAGACCGCTAGTTTTTGTTTTAATTTTTTAATGAACACGTATTTATTTTCTGCCTTATTTCAGGGGAATCTTCTATCGATGAAGTGAATGCGTTTAAAAAAAGGATAATGTGTGGCATATTTTGTGTGATTTCTGCCAAGAATCCTGACGACGTACGTGTCTCCTTTGAGGTAAGTTTACTTGAAGCTGAACTTCTCCGTGAGTCATAAAATGATCTTTATTTATCCAGATTATAGACGTTTGGGAGTCTTTGCTGGAATCTCGAGGTCCGGATTCGAAAGGTTCTCAGGACATAGATGCAGGTTGTTGTTGCCTGAAAATGGCTGGTTACGTTCTTTGGCAACAAGGGCAGAAAATGACTTCCCAACCTCTTCTCGACGAATCTGGTAATGCCTTGCTCTGGAATGGAAACGTTTTCGGCGGATTGGAAGTAAGTATTCTTGAAATTCATTAGGAAGAATTTCTTTAGCTGTTTCCTTTTTTTTTCAAGCTTGAGTACATCTACAGTATTTCGAATTTTTGTGAAAACGTCAGTACTTGACTTTCATTTTGTGATGTTTCGCCTTAAGCGTTTTTTGTCTCCGTGGTTTAAAATCCTACTAGATCGGAATTTGAAGATTCCATGTGGCGAGGTTTTGCTCCACTCTTTTTTTTTTTTCAAGAAGGAAGAAGCGTAGAAGCCTTCCAGTCTCAATGTATCCAGTATGCGTTATTCCCAGAATTCTAACCGAACGGAGACCAGAGAAAATTTAGAAAATGTACGAAGAGGCAAAATAAATCACGGACTTGGGGTACGTTAGCTTGAGCAGAATCCATTTGATTTCAAAATACTGTATTCATTTTCAGCGAGAGAATCTGTAAAACACTAAGAAATTAACATAGCTCAGAGTTTTTGGTTCAGATTTATTTGAACTTCTTTTGCTGAATATCTGTTCTATTTCGTGTTAACTAATCTTTGTATTTGTGACATTTACAGATACCACCTGGCCATAGCGACACGGAAGCAATCCTTCAAGGTCTCTCAAATGCCGAAAATATCCCTGCATTCTTCCAAAAATTGGAAGGTCCCGGTTCTCTCATTTATTATGATAACCGAAGCAAAAGGCTGTGGTTCAGACGTGATTGCATTGGCCGTCGGAGTTTGCTAATAGCTCAAGTTCGCGACCCTGAAGACTGCGTGCATTTTGTGATATCTTCTGTGATGCCATCAGCCGACACCCTATCGAAGCAAGATCTCGACATAATCTTCTGCGAAGAGTTACCTGCTGGGTTAACGTGTGCTTTGGACTTGACAGTGATTCCGTGTTCGTTGGAGAACTTGCAAGTGACCGTTTTTCCTGACTCTATTGACAATGCCGAGCCACCTCGTGTTCCGGGAGTACAGTGGAAATCCGAAATCCCGGGAGTAAATCGTTCGCTGTTGGATTTTCTGAATCGAGAAGTCCCGGTGAGAAATTTGAAGGTCGATGCTGCGTTAGACAGTCCTGCTGCTGCTGTACTCAAATCCTTGTGTGTTGGAATAGAGGCACTCGCGAGCGAATTCCTTGATGTCCTGGAGAATGCTGTCCGAGTACGGCTGCTTCAAACATGGCATCTAGAGACATCTTTAACAGAGGTTCGGCCTTTTTGTGGGCCATGAACGGCAGTAACAGCTTATCCTTATGAAAAAAGACCACCGGACCTAAGCTCACACTAGCGACGGCACACAGTAGCAGTTTTACCGGAAGGTGCATCGATTGATCTGCTGAATATCTCCTTCAGTAAGAGTGGCGACGCGGACGGCTTTTCTCTTGCACCGGACAGGAAAACTGGACGTCAGGCGTTTGCTGTGCTCTGTGATGTGTATCCGGAGCGCGAATGGAATTTTTTAGAGGTGTGTATGAAACAGTTGTTTTTGTGTGATGGTTCACGGAGTTATGCTTCAGGTTATTCGTCCCTTCCGTTTTTTCTATTTTTATTACCTGTACTGATTTTTGTCTTTAGCCGAATTCTACCTCCCAAACAGCACAAGAGCCGTAGGGTGAGAGAGATTTTGAAGCAGAGCGTGGAAAAAAGTTTAGCTACTTATTGTTTTCTTGGCAAAAGTCACCGTCTCCCTCTCGCATTGTTTTATTTGTCGTTACATAGTGTTGCCTAAAATTTTCAAGCATTCGTTAGGTCTGACGTATAGTACCGGATTTCCGAGAAAATCTCGCAAATTTCTCCCAGTTTTGACACGTGAATCATTGTTCGTCTCTTGAATCAGTTGCGTCTATGATTTTATGGCGAAATGTTGGTTTAAGAATTTGCACGAATTCGTAAAATTTATGTGTCACAAACTTGTGTACCGAGAAGATTGTGGCAGTCATTCTGCCGGCGAGATGTTGAAAGGGAAATCTCAGCGAAATACAGTACTGTATGAAGAACTCACAGCTCAAAACTCAAAAGTGCTCAATTGGGAAAGCAATCAATTTTTTTAGTTAGTCTTTCATGTTAATCTTCTTTCTTCAATAGAGATGGACTTCTCTCTACGAATAAATTCAAGGGACCTGAAAAAGTTAGAAAATTTAGTTGTAGAGAACCCCTAGGCCTATACGGTATAACACCGGGAAATAACCGTATGGGAGCGGAAAGGAATCATTCTAAAGTGAGTCCACCTGTATGAATCTTACTTCGGGGGTATTCGTGGAAAGTTCAGTAATAATGCTTCGGGAGATGTTTTGGTTTTTTTCGACTTTATCTGAAATTCGAATGTCCTGAAGCGAGTGGCAGTAATTTTTCTAGCAAATGTTTTTTATATAATATAACGGGTCTTATGATCAAGAATTTTTTTACCTTTCTGGGGCTTAGTTCATTTCTGGTCAGGCTAATAATCAACGTCATACTTTCCTGATACAAAAAAGGCTCGTTACAACAAGCCTCGTCATGACGAATTATTGCTTACAACAAATTCACTTTTTGGGTCCTTTCCCGATTCCCACCATGTTATTTTAATTTCGTTTCAACGATTTTTTGTTTTAATGGAGCTTTTTTAAGGTCACGAATGCTTTATTGTAACGAGATTCTACTGTTTTTCAGAATTCGATTTTAAGTGATGAAATTTAATTGAACTTGCCATTTCCAGCTGAATGTTACCGGTGATGAACTGAAAAGGATGCGAAAGACGCGGATCAGGGACCTAATCCACCCACGACTGACTGTTCTCGACGACAGCCTAGGATGTGCCCTGTGGTTCGCGGCTAGCGGAAAAGGCAGAAAAATGTCCTCCGATCCCAGTAAAAGTTGCGAAACTTACGAATGCCCTGCGAGGGTGCTACTGCTGGGCATGGGTGCGGACGAGCAGCTGGGCGGTTATATTCAACATCGCCGAAAAGCTGCGGAGAAACTTCATCAAGACACAGATGGTCGTTTTCGCGCAATCAACGATGAAATAGCCCTGCAATTGTCACGGATCGGGTCTCGAAACTTGGGTCGTGATGACAGAGTTGTTTCTGATCACGGTTGCGAAGCACGGTATCCGTACTTGGACGAAAAAGTCGTCNATTTCAAAATACTGTATTCATTTTCAGCGAGAGAATCTGTAAAACACTAAGAAATTAACATAGCTCAGAGTTTTTGGTTCAGATTTATTTGAACTTCTTTTGCTGAATATCTGTTCTATTTCGTGTTAACTAATCTTTGTATTTGTGACATTTACAGATACCACCTGGCCATAGCGACACGGAAGCAATCCTTCAAGGTCTCTCAAATGCCGAAAATATCCCTGCATTCTTCCAAAAATTGGAAGGTCCCGGTTCTCTCATTTATTATGATAACCGAAGCAAAAGGCTGTGGTTCAGACGTGATTGCATTGGCCGTCGGAGTTTGCTAATAGCTCAAGTTCGCGACCCTGAAGACTGCGTGCATTTTGTGATATCTTCTGTGATGCCATCAGCCGACACCCTATCGAAGCAAGATCTCGACATAATCTTCTGCGAAGAGTTACCTGCTGGGTTAACGTGTGCTTTGGACTTGACAGTGATTCCGTGTTCGTTGGAGAACTTGCAAGTGACCGTTTTTCCTGACTCTATTGACAATGCCGAGCCACCTCGTGTTCCGGGAGTACAGTGGAAATCCGAAATCCCGGGAGTAAATCGTTCGCTGTTGGATTTTCTGAATCGAGAAGTCCCGGTGAGAAATTTGAAGGTCGATGCTGCGTTAGACAGTCCTGCTGCTGCTGTACTCAAATCCTTGTGTGTTGGAATAGAGGCACTCGCGAGCGAATTCCTTGATGTCCTGGAGAATGCTGTCCGAGTACGGCTGCTTCAAACTACCGTAGATCTCTGTAGAAATTGTCTCCAAGCCGGAAAAACACCCGGTACTTGCCGTCATTGTCGAATAGGAATACTTTTTTCTGGTGGCCTGGATTCGAGTGTGATCGCTGCCGTGTGTCATCGTATTTTACCGGAAGGTGCTCCGATTGATCTGCTGAATATCTCCTTCAGTAAGAGTGGCGACGCGGACGGCTTTTCTCTTGCACCGGACAGGAAAACTGGACGTCAGGCGTTTGCTGTGCTCTGTGATGTGTATCCTGAGCGCGAATGGAATTTTATAGAGGTGTGTATGAAACAATTGTTTTTGTGTGATGGTTCACGGAGTTATGCTTCAGGTTATTCGTCCCCTCCGTTTTTTATTTTTTTATTACTTGTACTGTTTTTTGTCTTTAGCCGAATTCTACCTCCCGAACAGCATAAGACCCGTAGGGTGAGAGAGATTTTGAAGAAGAGCGTGGAAACAAGTTTGGCTACTTTTTGTTCTCTTGGCAAAAGACACCGTCTCCCTCTCTCATTGTTTTCTTTGTCGTTACATAGGTGTCGCCTAAAATTTTCAAGCCTTCGTTAGGTCTGACGTACAGTACCGGATTTCCGAGAAAATCTCGCCAATTTCTCCCAGTTTTGACCCGTGAATCATTGTTCGTCTCTTGAATCAGTTGCGTCTGTAATTTTGCGGCGAAATGTTGGTTTAAGAATTTTGCACGAATTGGTGAAATTTATGTGTAACAAACTTGTGTACAGAGAAGATTGTGGCAGTCATGCTGCCAGCGAGATGTTGAAAAGGAAATCTGAGCTAAATACAGTACTGTAGAAAGAACTCATAGCTCAAAACTCAGAAGTGCTCAATTGGGAAAGCATTCCATTTTTTAAAGTTAGTCTTTCATGTTAATCTTCTATCTTCAAAAGAGATGGACATCTCTCTACGAAAAATTCAAGGGACCTGAAAAAATTCGTTAAGAGAAAATTTCATTGTAGAAAACCCCTAGGCCAATACGGTATAACACCGGAAAGAACCGTATGGGACCGAAAAAAAAAATCATTGTAGAGAGAGTCCACCTTTATCAATCTTACTTCGGGGGTATTCGTGGAAAGTTCAGTAATTGTGCTTCGTGAGATATTTTGGTTTTTTCGACTTCATCTGAAATTCGAATGTCCTGAAGCGAGTGGTGGAAAATTTTTCTAGGAAATGTTTTGTATATTTTTATGGGTCTTGGCCGTCTTATAATCAAGAATTTTTTTACTTAAATGCGGGTTAGTTCATTCCTGGTCAGGCTAAAAATCTACGAATTCTACGTCATACTTTCCTTATAAAAAAACGTTACTACAAGTCTCGTCGTGACGAATTATTGCTTACAACAAATTCACTTTTTTGGTCCTTTCCCGATTGCCACCATGTTATTTTAATTTCGTTTCAACGATTTTTTGTTTTAATGGTGCTTTTTGAAGGTCACAAATGCTTTATTGTAACGAGATTCTACTGTTTTTCAGAATTTGATTTTTACCTAATTAAATTGAACTTGCGATTTCCAGCTGAATGTTACTGGTGATGAACTGAAAAGGATGCGAAAGACGCGGATCAGGGACCTAATCCACCCACGGCTGACTGTTCTCGACGACAGCCTAGGATGTGCCCTGTGGTTCGCGGCTAGCGGAAAAGGCAGAAAAATGTCCTCCGATCCCAGTAAAAGTTGCGAAACTTACGAATGCCCTGCGAGGGTGTTACTGCTGGGCATGGGTGCGGACGAGCAGCTGGGCGGTTATATTCAACATCGCCGAAAAGCTGCGGAGAAACTTCATCAAGACACAGATGGTCGTTTTCACGCAATCAACGATGAAATAGCCCTGCAATTGTCACGGATCGGGTCTCGAAACTTGGGTCGTGATGACAGAGTTGTTTCTGATCACGGTTGCGAAGCACGGTATCCGTACTTGGACGAAAAAGTCGTCTTTTTCTTTTTTTGGAAAGTACAGGAATTTTTTTTGTTTCAGACTCATGCTGCTACCCATTTTTGTTTCAGGCAGTGGACACTAATTCTGATGAATTATTCTAGGAAAAGTTATTGTTTTTGATAAAATTCGAAGTTACTCTGACCTCTAGGACATGCTCTTGTCAGTATGATTTTTCAAATTGACAATACCCTATCTATATCCTTACGTTGAGGATTTCTCGTATTGATTTCAAATGTGAACTCAATCTTTTCATTGAAAAAACATTCTTTTTTGTTTCCTTCGTGGAAAGCCTTTAATTTTGGACTCAAACGAAAAATGAATTGTATGTCACTTGTCTCATATTTCTTTTCGTTTTTTATAATTGTCATGCAGATGCGAAGATATCTTCAATTCTTTTTTTGAAAGTGTTGTCGAAAGTAGAGTTGAAAATGTATTTGAATTACGAATTCTCCGAAAAGATGCCTGTTTCTGATTTGATAATGGAAAATGTTGACGCATATTTAGTTTGAGCCTCATCATTTATGCTGTTGATGAATGGAAACGGAGAATTTGAGAAATTAAATACTCACTCTAGGCGTAAAATGCTCGAAAATCGTATGAAGCGAACTGGTTTCAGCTTGATTATTTGTGAATCTATCCGAAGTTTTGTGTCACTCATCGAAATTTTAAAATTCTGTCAATTATTATTTTCCCGGATTCCAACTCGTTGATAGGATTTTACGTTCGAGGGGAATTTTGTAAGTATAGAAATTAACACGCGCGAATACTGTAAAACACAGCAATGAAGCACCGCCGATGCTTTCTTTTACTTCGAAGACACCAAAATCAGGATTGTTTTCATTTCTCACGACACAATGAAGACAAAAAAAGAAGACAAGCTTTAGTTTCGCGCAAATTTCGTTTCATTTTAGTTGCCGCGCTCATGGATTGAAAACGAGAAAAAAATAATAATAATGGGGGTTAAGTCGATTGATATGGCGACGACGAGAGGAAATGAAGAACGCGGTCCTAAGACTCGGAAACCCGACTTGCGAAAGAAAGATGCGCAATTCGTTTCTTCTGCTTTGCCTTTTTTTTACGAGTATAAATTCTGACATACATAAATTTTTTATGCTTTTTTTCTCTCATCTGAGGCAGGCAGGATTGTAATAAGGCGACGGCTGCGGGGGGCCACTTGTTCTGCACAGCGTTTTCTACTCTGCTTCCTCCACCTTCTTGTCCTCCTTCTTCTTGAGGCCCAAGTCTGTCTTGATCTTCTTTTCCTGGTGAAGAAAGAAATTTAAGTCTAGTTTTGAAACAGTCGATTCAAACGGAGATTTTAGTTTCATAAAGTTTTGTTTTTCCCCCAAAAAAGTGACCCCGACCGTCTAATTCGTGAGTTTTTCGCTATTGAATAACCTGCCAGAAACATTGTTGAGCGTGTCCATTTTATTTCGAATTTCGAGGTTTTCTTTACAGTCTCATAAAATTTGAGTGTACGGTACGATAAAATACGGTTTTCCTGGAATGCAGCATAAGATTTCCTGATGCGAGTACAGTACAGCTGTTCACTCCACACGTAGATACCGAACAGCGTTCTCAAAAATTACAGGTAGATGTCGCCTGCTTTGAAGCATAAAATGGCTTAATGGAGACCGAATGAATCGATAATCGAAACATGATTTAATGAGGGGCTGAGACCTTCCTGACATGGAAAAGATTAATGGGATGAAGTCAAGATACAATATTACCGTATACTCGACATTTTGATGCTGTACGGAGTTCTCGAAAAGTAACAGGTAGATGTCGCTTGCTTCAAAGCGTAAAATCTCACGCTAGGAATCGAATCATGGGCGTCTTTGTAACATATAAGGAAGATTAACGACAAAAAGTCAAGGTACAACATTGAATTGAATAAGAACGTGTTGAGAAATATTTCCATAATTTAGAACGAAATTTCATCCTCGAGGGCTGTCCGTCAATTTTAAAATAATTCCAAGTTGGAAAATGTGAATCGTCCCGTACATTTCCTGATGAAATTGAAGAAAAAATACTTGCCTCTTCCTTCTCTTCCTCGAGTGTGAACTCCTTCTTCTTGACTTGCTTCAGTTGGTTGGCAAAGTTGAATTGTGCTGCCTTCTTTTGCAGCTTGGCGAATTTATTCTCGTACTTGGAAACCTTCTTCAAAGATGGCTTGATGCTGAAAGAAAAGTGACAATGATCCAAATCCCGAAGCCGAATGCAAAAAAAATCCGTGTTTCAGACTTACAATTTTCCCTTCAGGTCGTTAACTTGGCTGTTGAGTTCGTTGATCTTGACATTCCAATTGAAACAGGTGTGACGAAAATGAGAAAAGGGAAAAATACGCAATTTAATTTCAGGACATGAAGTGAAAACACACATTTCCCCAAGAATGAGACCTGTCACGAAAATACCGTCATTCATTTCCAGACATCTCTTTATAATTATATCGAATGCTCATCAAGAATAAAAGCCGCCAAAAAAATAGTTTAATCTAGAAGGACAGTGAGACAAACTTTCACAAAAATTAAGAGAGACTAAAACACATATTGCGGTATATCATATTTCATTGTTGAATCTTGAAGATTTTTTTTTACGAAACTTTAATTTTATTTCTGAAAATCATCTATGGCCATAGGGAGTAATAAAAATATATATTATTTGCACAAAATCCCGTGAAAACTGTGGGTATGCCATCCTTGCCATGTACGAGAGAAGAAAAAAAAATCTTCGGAAGTTCAAAAACTGTTTTCGACTCGGTCTTTGGAATTCGTTTTCATTGTCAAAAAAATTAATGATCCGGTAAATATGAACCAGATCAAATTTTTTGAACTCAAAATAGAGATCAGACACGGTCTCATTTTTGGAGAAACGTGAGAACATTTCAAATTAAAATAAACCAAATTTCAAGGTTCGGGTAGGGTTCTGAAGAAAGTAAGGAAACGCAGACAAAGACAAAAAAAAGAGAGACAAAACCCGATGACATAATACAAAAAGACATGACAGAAGACACAAACATCACATACAAGGAGTGTGTACCGGTACATGAAAAAAGGTTCACACGGGATAAAAACAGTAAATATTTTTTGTAATTTTTTTTTGTTTTTCAAAAAAACAGGGCTTTTTTTATTGGCATGAGACTGGAAGCGAAAAAAGGCTCTATGAAAGCAGCATGCAAGCCAAGATTAAACAAAATGTATTTCTTGTTTTTTTTCTTTTCATTTTTTTTTTAGAAAACATGCGTGGTGCATTAGCAAAGATGTAATTATGGCAGACGACACATTGGGAATGGTGGGCGTCTTGGACACAGTATGTGGCGTAGCACAGATCTCTTTCCTGGCAGATTTTGGCACGCCGAATCTTTTGGCACTCTTTGATGCCAACAGTACGTGGGCGCATGTTTTTTTTTTTTTGCCTGACCACGGCCAAGGGAAACGTTGGCACTTTGTCAACTTCCGCTTTTCCCGAATACCACGAAAAAAATGAATGAATAAATGCCAAAAAAATCTGTCAGGAAAATCCGGGAAGGATATTCTTTTCTCTGTGCCACTCCAACAGGTTGCTTCTGTGGTGCTCAAAAATGGGACATGTGTTTTTTTTTCTTTCTTTTTTTCGAACGGAATCACGTGTAAGTATATATTTCTTTTTTTTTAAACACATATTTTTTCTTGTCCCAATACCGTTGAGTCCATTTTATACCGACCCACCATGTTTTTCTTTATGCAGTTTTCAAATTCACTTGACAAAAAAAGCGCTTTTTCCTGTGCAGAAAAATGCCCTAAGAAAATCTTTTAGCTTCAATAATCTTCTTCGGAGCCGGAATTTCTCTAAATCGAAGCAGAACATGCAATAACCAAATCAACTATATGGCTGCTAAAAAAAAGAGAGCAAAATCCATGCTGTGCCAAAGAACGGATTTTTTTCAGAAAATTTCGAAAGAGAATGAAAACTAAAATCGTAAATTGCAAGATTAAAAAAAATGTTCCTCGCATCAAATATTTTTGAACTCAATTTTTTTCACGAAAAGCAAGCAATTTTTGAGTTTAAAAGTGAAACTCAAGTTTATTTTTGAGGACCAGCAGGTGCAGAAAAACAGTTCGCTTTCAAGCATTATCAAGATCAGGCAGCATCCCTTTTTGCAGATTTCCCCCTTTTCTTATTTGCAAAAACAAAAAGCATGCAGAAAAAGAGGCACCATGCTGATCAACAGATGCAAAAATAAAAAGTGAAACAAAGGCACGACTGATGCTGGTGTCTCGGGAAATCTGATCTAAGTGCTCCTTATATTCAGTCCTTCGCCTACAATATAAAAGGTAACACAAACCCCAATTGCTAGTCACTCTGGGAACGACATCTACACAGTCTACCGCAACCGATAGGTCTATGAATATATCTGTTCTTCTAGTCCTTCCAGCCAACACATTCTAAAAAGGTATAGAGACGAGGTAGAAGCAAGAATCGAAAAAATATATAGATAAATAAGGAAAGAAAAGGACTCGAGAAATCCCGAAAGAAAGGAATCACTTTTTTCTCTCTTTGTAGCACTAAATGTCCTTTGCTCGCATCACGAGGTGCATTTTTCATTTAATTTCAAAATATTCACTCACAAAAGAAGGAGGTGAATCAAAAATTGGACTTGATTAATACTTTGACATAACATTCCAGCATATTTTTTCCGACACAGAAAAACAATCCCCAACACTGAGAAAATATATAAACACTGAAAAAAAAGTTTTTGCAAAAGGTTGGTCCAGTGCTTCAGGAAAGAAAAAAGTGGCATGGGATATTTGGGCACATGTGCAAGACTAAAAAGGCAGAGCACATCTGCCGTGAAACTACATATATATATAATATAGAAAGGTTCCGAATAAAAAACAGAAGAAAAATACATCAGGTATATTCGAAAAATAGAACAAAAAAACGAAATGAATTGCCGATAGAGAGAAATAAGAAAAGGAAAGGGAAGACAGAGGCAAACAAAAGAGTATATAAGAAAATATTCAACCAGACTCTACCTCAAATTCTCTTTTTCGCACTTCATACTCCAAATCCCATTTCTGACCCTCACACACATAAATGCGGTCATGGTAATCCTTACAGATGATCATTAGCTCCTCTAGAGAAGAAACACAAGTTTTCACCAGGTTGGTCATCAAATCGTCATAATATATAAATATAAATATCGAGATAATGAAAATGCGAAAGAAAAAAAAAAAAAAAAAAGGTCTCGTGTTCGGAGTCTGTGTTTCTCTTGTCATCGATCCTCTTTTTTTTCCCCCAAATTGGATACTTTATGCATATATAATAGCATATATACATATATTCTCAGAAGGGAAAACATAGAAATGAATGAAGAACAAAAGAAAAACTCATCCTGGGGCGAGATGAGAAGAGCTTTCTCTTTTTTTGATCACTTGGATTGAATGCCGTGAATTCCCTCGAGGTGCAAATTTTTTGGGGGAGGGACCTTTTTCTTTTCGAATAATGGATCAGTTCGATGCCCAATGATAATGAAAAAATAAATGAATGCAGATTCCAGAGAAGCAACCTTGTGTGCAAAAGCCCAGGTATGTTTGAAATGTGCAGCAAGCAGGACATCTGTGTTGCTATAAGGACTATGTAAGCGTACCGGTACTTCTGGCTGCGACTATAAAGCTTGGTTAGTATAATAAATAGGCTCTCAAAAAATAAAAAAATAAATAAATGAAAGAAGCTGTGTTCCTTTTCACATTTACCTGAAATTCCCTCCTCTTACACTCATACTCGCAATCGTATTTTTCACTTTCAAGTGCACTGATTCTGGCATGGTATTCCTTGCAAATTGTTTGAAGCTCGGCTACAAACATGGGCCAAAGAAGATAGAGAGGAAGAGAGAGAGAGAGAAACAAAAGAACGAAAAAAATAATCAAGTAGTTCAGTTCCAAGCATTAAGCAAAATACAGCCAAATCCCTGCTGGAGAGACCTACAATATAAGTTCTCAAACTACAACATCGAGAAGCTGCGAGGCAAAAAATAAAATAATAATAACAAAATAAGGAAACAATGCTTTTCCATATCCCTTTTGTCGCCTTCACAGACGATAATTTTTTTTTCTTCCAGAAAATGTACAAATGTAAATAAAACTCATCTTTCGTGAATGCAGAGTGGTGTAAGTCTGGGAATCTTGTATAATTTGCAATGTCTTTTTTTTCGAAAAAAAAAACATATTGTGTATGCGGGGAATCTTGCATGTGCTACATTGCTACTGAAAAAAGGCTCTAAAGCTTTACTGCCATTTTTTTCTGCATGGTGGGAGAAAGCAAAAAATGGGAGAACTTTGTTAAGCCAAAAAGGGTGCTCAATACAATACTGCAGCAGCATCTAGAAAAGTTGCAATCAGCCAGTAGTCTATGAAAGCAGTCCTGGTCAGCTGAAAAGGTGTGCCTCCAGAAGTTACCATTCCAAAGCATCTAGCGCAGCCTGTTTCTCTTTGAAAAATATATGGAAAGTTGTATGAAAGACTGGACAACAGGAGGAACGGGATAGAGAGTATATACGGAAGCGTTTTATCAACACATAAGCGACACCTGTTTGCAGACTCTCGTACTTCAAACTCTCCGCATTCGCTGCGCTTGAGGAATAGATGACGACAGCTGTTGCAAATTTGTCTTCTCACGATCATACGCGAAAAATAATTACGTTACGCTTTTGAAAGACGTGGAGAGCTTGAATGTCATCGGTCTGCAAATGGTGTCTGTGTGGGCCAATTAGCCTTCACGATACCAACCTCAAAGTCTTTCTTTCGGACCTCATATTCCAAGTCAAACTTATCCCCCTCCAGGCTGGTAATTCGTTTGTGGTATTGTTTGCAGAAATCCTTTAGGTCCTCTACGAAATGCAAACAAACGTATATATGTCTTTCAGTTCTCTGTCTTGAATTTTCGCTTCCTGAATAAATTTTGAGCCAACTTCGGCTCTCTATATGTCTCTGAATTTTTGTTTGGTTTTTCTCCTTTTCAAAAATAAAATTGCGATTTGGCTGCTGGCTAATTTGGTGCGGTCGGGGGTCTTATTTTTCTCATTCCCTAGCATCACCGATCCGAACAGGGTGATGGAAAAAGGTGGCTGAACTCTTCTATCGTTTTCTTCCAGGGTTCCAGGCAAAAAATAAAAATAAAACGTTCGTTTTGGCACAAAAAAAACTTGCATGTGATTTTGCGACCATTCCGGAGTAGATATATGTATATATATATATATATAGAGGGACAAGGGCATCACTGTATTTTTATATACTTTTAGGGCATGTCAATTATCGCGTTTTACTCGTCGAAGGAAAAAGAAGAAAGGGTGTGCTCCGTTATTTTGACTACGTTACATCAAAATCTGCTAGTTTGTCACACATGGGTTTCAAGGGGAGATTCACGGACAATCAATGCAAGTGATCTGTTTCCTGTGAGAATATAAAAGTATAGTTCTTTCTTTTTTTCTTCAGGGAATTCCTGGAGCATCAGAAACTCCGCTGCTGGAAGGATTTGAAACAGTCTTTCTCTTTTTTTATATTTGTCGGGTCTCGGGGGGTTTTTCGTTTGAATATATCCTGACCTCGTCTGTGAACAGCATCAGTTGAGAATTGTTTCGCAAGAGAATATAAGTGCCTAGTTATTCAGAGATTGGTTAGAGATAATGATACAAAGTTGTTAAGCGGATTTTATTGCAATCTCAAGCGTGACCGGGGTCGGTTTGTTTGTTTTGTTTCGTTATTTTTTTTATGCTTGCTTTCATATAGTTATTTCCCCCATTTCAACACATATATATGTATATATATGTATGTAACATATGAAAGAGGAATTAAGTCGGGCTCGGGTCTGTCTACCTCAAAGTCCTTGGCCTTAATGCTGTACTCAATGTCCCACTTCAGACTCTCCAGCTTTCCTATGCGCTCGTGGTAAGAGCGGCAAATGGTTCGCAGTTGCCCTGGTTCCACCAAAGGCCAGAAGAATCATCAGTCAACCAATTCCACCACCTTTTTTCCTTATTAATCTCCCTTTTTTTCTTTTCTTTTTTACAAAAAAAAAAAAAACCTA